AAATCGAATTTTCGCCGGATCTTGGGGTCCAGAATTTGGGGGGGGGAGATCTGACTAAAAAAAAATCTAGCCGGATCTCCCTGGGCTGGCGGGTGTTTCGCCGGATCTGGGGGTCCAGATTTTTTTGGGGGGGGAGATCTGGCTAAACACCCGTCAGCCCAGGGAGATCTGACTAGAATTTTTTTTTAGCCGGATCTGGGGGTCCAGAATTTGGGGGGGGTACATCTGACCAAAACCGCCTCATACCCACATCTGCTGCCAGCATTTGGCTTGGTGTGCCAGCTGCCCAGCTGTGATGTCCTCTGTAGGTGATGTTCTCAGCTCAGCTTGCAGAGCCAGATGAAACTGAGACTGCCTTCAAGGACTCCATGGAGCATGTGCTCAAGGCGTTTGACAGTGAAGTGCTCGAGCTCTATGGTGGCCCAGCCCAGTACTTGCAAGCACAAGCTGGCAGATCCTTCTGAACAGACAGCTTTTTTGCAGTGGCTGTGGGGCGCTTTCCCTTTGCAGGAGGACAAGCTCTACAACTTGGAGAATCCGATACCTTCTGCTGAAGAAAGCCAGCTTGGAGACCAGGCCCCCTGCAAAGCTCACATCTTGATGCTGGGCTACATGGCCCTGTGCACCTTGAAGCCCATGCCTTCTGCTCACAGTGCCCGCTTGCTGGTGCAGCACTTGCTGATGGATGGGTTTGTGACCAGCAGCCAGCCTCTGCAGATCAAGCACGTTACGCCAGATGTCCTGCTGACAGAGCCCTGGGCTGCAGCTGCCAACGGTTTGCCAATCCATCCTTTCTCCTTGGGGTATGTCAAGGGCATGCTTCGTGGCAGCACAATCCTTGCCCTGCTCTACATGTTCTGGCAAGATGGGCAGGGCTTGCAGCTGTTGGTGTTGGAGACTTTCAGCAACTTGAGAACTTCGTGTGGGGTGGTCTATGTGCACCACATCAAGCATTTCAGCTTGCAAGATGAGGTCTTCTACAACTTCCGTGTGTCACTTCGAGGATCCATCCGTCGCCCTCCCAACTTGCTGACCTGGGTGGGCACTTTGAGCCAGCTCAAGCAGAAGGGCTATGAAGACAGCGCGGCTGTGATCTCTCGTTTCAACTCTGGGGTCGGGAAGAGCTTCCAGCTTGTAGGGTCCAAGGCCACAGCTATTGGGAACTTGATGTCCCTGTTTCCGGCATGTCTCCAAGTATGGCTGGGACAGCTGCGTGCTTAGTGATGACAACCTGAGCACCAAGAAGCCTGCCCAACTATGTCCACAAGAGCCCGCACAAATCGTGGAAGAAGCTCGCTGCCATGTCGGTTGTTTCCACGACCCTGACCTTTCGCCGGCTGACGCGGGACTTTGACAAGATGTCCCCGCACGCCCGCCGGAAGGCTGACAAGGCCACCATGGAAAGCTTTGCTGAACTTGCAGCCCTGGTGGTGAACCTGTCCAAGCAGCTGGCTGAGCTCTTCCCCTTGAAGCAGGCTGACTTGGAAACCGAGATCTACGACAAGTGGGTCGAGGGCAGTCCTGGCCTGGACCTTGAGGTTCATGAAGTCTGCACTGAGAAGAGGGAGTCCTTGGTGGTCATTGACATCAAGGCCTTCCGTGCTGTTGCCGACCTGCTGCAACGCAAGATCCCTGTGCCCAAGAATTCTGAGGAGATCCAGCTGACAGAGCTGGCCGCGAGCAAGTTTGAGTTGCTGAAGAAGCAGCTGGACTATGACCAGACCGCCTTCAAAGTTCATCAGTCCAAAATCCAGAGTTATGAGCATGCAGTCCACCACGCCAAACTTGAGTGGAAGCAGAAGCTTCGTTCTGAGGCTGCGCAGTGGTGCAACTCTTGGCTAGCCAAGAAGTGCAAGGTTTTTACCTATGACCCTTCCCAGACTGGTGCCCTCACAAAGCTGGTTTCGGACCATGCCCAGACTTTGATCAAGGGCGCTGGCCTTTCCAAGCCTGCAGTTGCAGCTCAACTTCATGTTAACTTAAGTTGTTATTTGGTCGTCTTGCTTTTCAAAGCCTTCTTGAATCCTTGCTGTGGTTTTCCCTGCTCATCTAAGGCCACACTATCTGTGCTGAACTGGTCGGCACCTGCGGTCCACAGCCAGCTTGCCCAGGAGGCCCAAGCCTGTTGCTTTGCCCACACAGTGTCAGAAAGTTTCTGCAACCTCGGAGTCCTCCTGTGCCCAGTTTTCCATTGCAAGAAGCACCAGATGCATGTCCTGGAGCACTTCCTCTTGAAGTCACTTGCTTGCCGTGGAGTGGATGTGGACCTCCAAGCCTCGTTGATGTTCAAGGATCGCAAAGATTCCCCAGACCCTTAGTGTACCCCATTCGCATCATCCGGCCCTACATCGAGGCGGTCCAGTCAGATGATCAGCGCACAAGCCGGTCAAAGCGCAACCCAGCTGGGCGCTACTGGCAAGCCTCTCAGCTGGTGCGGGCCCGCCGCACTGAGGAGGCCGACCAAGTGCCAGCAACCAAGCTCAAGGTTGTTGAGGACCTTTTCAGCACCGACCTTGATGGATCTGTGCGTGGTGGGTGCCGGTTTGAGCAGATCGGGCCCTCTGCGTCCTGCAAGTTGCTGGAGTCCCTCTTGGAGAATGACTTGCCCGGCAAAATCAGCGGCCTGCTTGTGTTGGACTTGTCCCTTGGTGTGGGCGACCTGTTCTGGGCTTGGCTTGAAAGGGTCAAGGCAATGAAGTTCCCAATCTTGTATGTTGCTGCCTCGGCCGACCCTACAGCTGTGGAGTGGGAGCAGCACACCATCCAGGAGGAGCTCACAGAGAAGCTCTTGAGCGGCGATGTGGTCTTGCCTGGCTTCCACGTTCGCCCCAAAGACGCTCCAGCCGAGGTCCTTGCCAGCGCCCCGCCTCCCCCACAGCTCAATGTCTGCGTCCTTCAGCAAGGAGTCTTGGCAGTGCCCCAAGTTGTTGTGCAGCAGTGGGCAGCCCATCCGACCTTTGGCACTGAGTTCCAGCAGCTTTTGGCCGACCACATTGCAGAATTTGGGGAGGCGCCGCCTGAAAAAGCCGGGTCTTCAGGCCAAGCCAACAGCTGCCCTGAGCCTTCGCCAAAAAAGCGGCGCGAAGTCTGAGTCGGTTGACAACTTGCCAGCTGTCAAACTTGCGCAAGCAGCTGTGGTTGGCCTCAAGACGGAGCTTCTGGGCAAGATCATGATCCGTGTGTCCACGGATCGCTCTTGGCTTCTTGTCAATGTGTCGCAGAACGTTGTGGCACTGCCAGCTGGCACTGTTCTGGCGGGTTTTGGGCCAGGTACATTCAAACATGCGCCTCGCCTTGCAGAGGGGAAAATTGGCCTGGGCGAGATTGCGAATGCAGTGCAGGGCAACCGTGCTGCCACTGACATCTGCTACCACAGCCAGAAGCCTGCCCCATCCGATGACCCGAAGCACTTTGAGCTGGAGCGCAAGCATGAGGTTTACTATTGCCCTGCGACAAAGACCAATGCGCAAGTTGAGGCATCGGGTGATGACCCCACCAACCTGGAGCTCAAGGGGTCCTCATCCTTGGCTTCTTTGGTGCCGCTCTCCACTTGCAAGTTCGAGCACTGCAGCATCATGTGGGCAGTGAAATGGGCTACGAAGGGCCTCATGCCTATCAAGCCGCAGGTTGCCCTGACCTACGACGTTGAGATCCAGCCCGGCACAGCTGTTCATTTGTAGGCCACCTTTTTGTCCTTCTGCTTTAAATCTTGGGGCTGCCAAAAGGTACTGCTTAGCTTGTCCTGAGCGCAGTATGTCTCTTCACATGTCTTGCTCAACTCAGGTGTTTGTTGTTTTTGGCCATCCATGTTTCAGCTTGCTTGTTTGACAAACACATTGAAGTGCAACTGACCTGTGGCTAGCCACACTTTGCAATATACCCCTTTCACCTTAATCCTTTAGATGGGAGGTTATGTCAGAATGGTTCTTCATGTCATGGGCTAGGTTTTGTGAGCTTTCGTGACTTCCAGGCTGCCATGGTTGCTGTGGAGCTTGTGGCTAGCCACGCTCCTGTGTTGAATCAACTTCACCTGCGGCTAGCCGCAACTTGTCAGAAAGTCAGCCCATCATGTGTTCTGAGATTTTCTTGATTGGCAATGAGTTTGATTGAAGTTTGGAACTTGGAGCCTTGGTGTTTGGCACCCTCAAGTCTGGGGATGGAAACTTGATGTCCAGTTGCCAAGCTTTCAGCAGACATCAGCAATCACAACCAGCATGCTCAGCAAGCATCATGTAAGCAGTTTAGCAGCCAGCTTGCTTAGCAGCCATGACCATTACGCACCAGGAGATCATTGAAGGCATGAGCAGGTCACCTTCACTGCTGATGACCGCGCGAACGTCCGTTTGGCGACGTCCTGCGAGGTAGGATGGGGGTGTAAGAGCACAATGTGCGGTCAAAGGCCGCAGGGGTGGAAAGGTCCCAAGCGATGTCCGCGTCATGGCCCTCGGACAACACGACAGCCAGCCGCCTGGCAAACCAAGCGTCCTCCAGTCGCTGTGCGTTGTTGCGCTCCAAGGTCCCTGAAGGCCCAAAAGCAATTCTCGCTGATGTGGGTGCAGGTCGGACCAGACGCGGAAAACTGCCGCAAAACTTGCCGGCATGTGCAGAAAATGCGCGCTCAGGAACTCCAGCAAATCCACCTCTACAGCCAGCATTGACTGCTGCCTCGGCATGACAAAGAAGCGATCTGGCAAAGGTCCAACCCAGCGAAGCGAAGCTGGGTGTACCCACCCCGCCCTGCGCGAAAACGCCACCCAGCCATGTAGGAGTAGCCGCATTCTGAGCACCTGCTGCATCTGAAAGCCGCGTGCTGAAGACCTGCTTGCAAGGTGAAGACTCGAAACCTGGTCCTGCTCTGGGAAGGAGCAAAGCGCATCCGCTGTGGCATGGGCTGATCGTACGAGGTCCGGGGCTCCTGCAAGCTATAGGTCATTCAAAAAATAAACACCGGCCAGCGTCAAACGACTTTTTGTCAATCTATAGCTACGCAGTCACAGCGTTCAGTCCTCCTGGCGCAAGCGCGCGCGGCACTCCGGGCAAGACTGCCTCGCCTCAGAAAGCAAAACAGTAGGCTCGTCGCAGCACATCGACTGCACGTGCTTCAGCTCAGCCTCGACGGCCCTTGCCCAGAACAAACGTGAGGCGCAGCGCTGGCTATCTTGCAGAGGACATTTCGTATGGTCGCGTCTGCCGCCTCGATCTGCAGCTTGCGCAAGGCTTCTCGCAGGAACGGTAGCGCAAGCGACACGTCCACAAGCCGCAGCACCCGCAGCACATCCGGCAAGGCGCGGGGGGGCAAAGGAAACAGCAGCGAGTCCCATGAGATGCCCGACATGGCAGCCCTTCAAGCCCCCAGCCAGCAACAAAGGCGCGCAAAGCCGATGCCGCCAACTCCCTCGCTCGCAACTGCTGCAGTCATGCTCCTGCACGGGGGAAACGAATTAGCACAGCGGGCTGCGCCTCGCCGCCGGTTCTGGAGCCCACACTGCAGTCGTGAAGAAGAGTCGAATCGCCTGCCGCTGCCATGCCGACACCAGCTCACGCAGCGAGACGCTGCGTTTTGCCCGCCGCAATCAAAAACTAACATGCCCGGGCCCGGAAAGGCGGAGCCGAACTCAGGCGGCTACACAAGGAGCCGCGAGAAGTAAGCCGCAGCCCTACCCACTGCCACTGCCTGCTTTCCCAGCCGCCCGCCAGCAAAAACGACTAGCGCCGCGCCCGCGAAGAAAAAACAAAACCCCACCTCGCATCTGAACTTGGAAGCTGCGCGGCAGCAGCAACAAGGCAGCTGGCCCAGCGAGGGAACGCTCAAGGGCTTTCAACCCAAGGATCCGCTCCACAGGGGTCAGGCTCAGACTCTGCGAGCTCGGCCTCGTCGCTCTCCCAACAAGCCTCTGCCCCGATAGTCCACGCCTCCGCTGCATCGAAGAAGCCGAGAAAAATGCCCAGCCGATCCACTTCAAAGTAGTAGACGATGAAGGCGCTGACGCCCGCCAAGAGCTCCTCTAGGCCAAGCCACGCCGACGGGACCTCTTCATTCGCAGGCCGCGCATCCTCAATCCACCAGTCGCGCACTGCACCTGAGCAGCAAGCGAAGGGCAGCGTCCCCTGGCTCGAGGCCGTCACGGCGAACGAGGGTGCGTAAAGGCAGCTCACAAGCATCGCCAACGCACAGGTTCCAACGACGCTCCACGCCACATGGCGGATTTGGATCTAGCAAGGGCTCAAAGGCAAGAATGCCCTGCAGGACACGTCCCTCGCTTTGGGGGAAGGTCAATCCGCTCACACAGAGAGGCCGCAAGTCTTGCAGCAAGCGAGCTCGCAAGCTACGAAGTCGCAGGCGGGGACTCTTTGATTGGGATCGCCCAGCGCCAGCACGTGCTTGAAGAAGCCAAAGGTGGACACAGCGTCAAGAAGCTTGTATGCTTCTATCTCGTCAGCCACCAGAAGATCCAGATCGCGGTGACGCATCCACCGTGGACTGCTTGCCAAGCACTTCTTCAGCTTGTCATGCGTCAGAATGATGACCTTGTGCTTCCGCGTAGATGTTGTCCCATGGCCAGAGGTACTCCTCATAGAGGAACAGCAAGCGCTCCGCATGCTGTTGCAGGATGTCTAAAGAGCAAAATGCCCCTTCAGAAGCCAGCCTTGGACACAAATTGAGCGAAACCTAGAGCTGCTCCCCCGCAAACATGAAAAAAGCACGAAGACGTGCGTGGGCTTGGCCTCACGCCTCAAACTACGCTAAACAGCTACACCCAACGAAGGCTCCTTGTATGCAAGCGGGCGTCTTTGCTTGGTCAATAGCCGCGTCCATGATGCTCAACTGGGCTCTCACACCCGCCGTGGCCTTCTGCTGGTACGCTCGCATCTCAACGCGGAGTAGATCCATTCCTGCTTGCTCCTCTTCAGGCAGATCGCCGTCAGCGCCGCTGTCGACCACGAAGACGTTCTTTTCCCCAACGAGCTGCCTCACCAGCGATATGAGGTCCGCCCGATGGCATCGGCACGCTGTGCAGACCACTGCTAAGGGGAATTTGCCAGTCTGAAGCGCTTGGGCATGCCATTCGACCCAGAATCCCAGCAGCACAGCCGCCGCCCGACCTGACAGTCAAAGCAATGTGTAAACCGCGCAACAAACAGAAAAGCCTGTCTGATCCCTGAGCGGACAATGCGAAGGGTATTCACTAACAAGCCCCTCAGCCTCTCATCATTAGCGCAAGCGAGGCAACTAGGCTTCCAGCTTTTGCCACAGCCAGGATGGCTCCAAAGCACTTGCAGGGATGCATCACTGTCGACCAACTGTCGCAGCACGTCGGCCTGCTCCAGCGACAGAAGCTCGGACAAGTCTGCAGAACCTGACTACCGAGACACCCTGCCAAACTACTGCTACTTTTCGGACAACGATGCGAAAAAAGACAGGAAACGTCTCTGAATGAGCAGACAAGGAACAAAAGGGTAGCAAGCGGTGCACCGCTTGCAGGTAATTGCCCTGAACCTCCTCTTCCTCGCTGCCCCGCTGCCGGCCCAGCAGCTCTTGCAAAGGCCTCCGAGGAAGGGAGCCGGGGCGCAGCAATTTCTGCAAGCAACGGTACTGGAACTCCAACACGTGCTGAGAGTCAAAGACGATGATGCAGACATTGTCTCCCCGGGTCAGGAAGGCCTCGTTGGAGTCTGCCTCCGCCACGTGTTCAGGCGAGTCAGCAGGAGCCCAAACCTTGAGGTTGCGGTAGTCGGCCGTTGCACTGGCCACTGCGTAGCGCCTGCCGCAAGACCACAACCGCTTCAAGGCATCTTCTCCCGGGCTTTGGCGCTCCATCCAAAGTTCGCGCAAGACTGGGTGGTCTAGGCGGCACACCCAAATTGGGCAGTGCTTCACGTGGACGCCCTTCGCCTTGATCTCGGAGAAGTCGCCCCACATCTGCAAACGCAACCTCGCGCGGCTCTGCAACAGCGAGATGTTGCTGACTGCAGTCCGCCGTTGGATGCACAACGAGCTGATCTACAGCATCTTCACGCGCCCACTGATCGCGCATTGTGCTGGCGTGGTGGGCGCCACGCTCCCCGCCGGCAAGCGGAGCCCTGATGACGCACACACGTGGCCCCCGGCAAGCCGGCGGGACTTCATCAGGCCAGCTGGGCTGTACCTGAAAATGGTACCCGACACCGAAGAGGGTTGTCATGATAACTTGCGCGGGCTGGGCCTCACGCTTTTCCAGGAGCCTCGAGGAAAGGCGTGCGTGGTCACCACAGAAGAGGAACTTCCCATGCGACAGGCAGAGGGGAAGACCTCTTCATGGCTGCCTCTGAAGGAGCCGACCATGGGAGAAGGTAGTCACGACAACTTGCGCGGGCTACGCCTCGCGCTTTACAAGCTTTCAAGCCGAGAGGAGCAGCGTGCGTGCTCACCACACAAAAACGTGTGTGACACCGCTGCAATAACACCAATGTGCAATGGAGCTCATAATCAAAATTAGGGAATTCCTGCGGGACCTCCTGACAAACTACAATATGGAGAAACGACGCCGTTGCTGAACTTTGTCGCAGCTGCAGTCTCTTTAAGGAAGACAAGACGGGGCTTGGACTGCCTTAAAGTAAAAACTCCCACCAATACGGTGCCTCAAAAAGCGCGGAATGCAGACACCGGGGCTGCAGACCGACTCCTGCACCAAGTCGTTGCGAAGGCAGCACTGACTCCCCAATGGTCGTCTTGCGCGGGCTACGCCTCGCGCTTTGCAAGCTTTCAAGCCGAGAGGCGCAGCGTGCGTGCTCACCACACAAAAACGTTCTCTCATGACACAAGGAAAAGGGAAACTGGAACGTATACAAAGCGCATGCTGCGAAACTTCGGAGACACCGCGGCAATAACACCAATGTGCAATGGGGCTCATAATCAAAATTAGGGAGTTCCCGCGGGACCTCCTGACAAACTACAATATGGAGAAACGACGCTGTTGCTGAACTTTGTCGCAGCTGCAGTATCTTTAGGGAAGACAAGATGGGGCTTGGACTGCCTTAAAGTGAAAACTTCCACCAACACGGTGCCTCAAATGGCGCGGAATGCAGACACCGGGGCTGCAGACCGACTCCTGCACCAAGTCGTTCCAAGGCAGCGCTCCGCGACGGTCGTCTGCGTAACTGGCATCCTGGCGACGAAGAAGACCAGCCTCCGTTTGTGGATTTGGTGGGCCCACCCGGGTGGGAGAGCCAGGGCACCAGCCCCAGCACAGCCCTCTATACTGAGGTTCCCAAACCGGCCATGCTACAAGGCTCCGTTTCGGGAACACCAAAAATTGAGGAAAGGGCTTCGTTTTGAACAACATATTTTACAAAGGGGCTCCGTTTCGGGAACACCAGAGATTTGAGGAAAGGGCGTCGTTTTGAACAAAATATTTTACAAAGGGGCTCCGTTTCATGAACACCAGCATTTCGGAAAGGTGGGAAACTTGGGGCACGTAAAGGGGCATGCGTCAATAGAACATATGCCTGGAGATCACCCGTTCCCCCCATGAATAATGCACCCTACGAAAGCACTCAGGTCTTTAGACATGCATATATATATATATCGACATGCTGCGAGCGTAGCAGAGAAGCCCTACAACTATCGAACAATTGCAGCAGGCCGCGACAGGACGACGCGGCTCCGCAGTCTGCAGCCCTGGGCCTAGCCCGCCTCTCGCTGGCAGCGTCTCGTCAAGGACGGAGCTCAGGAAGCGAACAGCACTCCAGAAGCAGGCAAGGTAGACACGCGCAATGCCCATCGTGCCGGCCAAAATCGAAACGTAAAAAGTGTGTAAATAAATGGGCCCTCCCAATGCAGCCTAACTATTGCCATTCAGCCGTTCGCCATTCTGCGGCATGGTTTGGCCGTCTATTGGTGTTTCTTTGCGTGGCTGGAACTGCCTGGTTGCTGAGAACCCGGGTCCGTTGAATGTGGTGGTTGCTTAGAGTCAAGGTCCCGTGTGCGTGCAATGCCGTCAGAAGACAGACCCGTCGGAAGTCAGAAGTTTCCAAATGAGCGTTTCACTGCACGCCGTTTTGCAGGCTGCTGCTTGCTGGATCTGCCGGCGGCCCGGGCCGCAGCGCCAACCTCCGGCTCAAAGCCCTGCCCTTGACCCAAGCAAGACGGCCAAGCGGCTCACGGCGGTCCACGTCCCTGGCGTGTTGAAAAGCTCACTGCATCTTGCGCAAGCCAAAACAAAATACTGTCTGAAAATGGTACCCGACACCGAAGAGGGTTGTCATGACAACTTGCGCGGGCTGGGCCTCACGCTTTTCCAGCCCAGGCGCTGGAGCCTCGAGGAAAGGCGTGCGTGGTCACCACAGAAGAGGAAC